ATAAAATATAAAACATATTTTCAATAAGTATGTTCACAGTGTGCGCATATAAGTAAATGGAGTATTTGTTATTATTTTAAACAAAACGTCAATTAATATGAAAATGTACCCAGGACAACGTGGCCTATCAAATCTCCCTTTTCCACAAATATTTTCTAAAACTCCGAAAATATAAATGTCGTCCGATATCTTTGATCTAATACAGACATCAGCAGCCCAGAGATAAACGTTTCGTCCTATCTACATTTTTATTCCAATTTTACGATACAAACCAACCCTTTTGACCCGAATCTTGCCCAGGGCCGGTATCGAACAATAAAATCCAACTACGAACCTGCAATTAACCTTGCCCTGCCAAACACCCTCGGATTAAATGTTCTTTATCTGTCGACAGCATCGACTCTTGCCAAAAGGTAGCGGGGGACGGAATTTTACTCAATGGTGATAAAATTAGTAGGTTATGGAAGTTTTTTTAACGATTGACTTGGATTTTAATGATTTCTTAATAATTCATAAACGAGCTAGACTCTCATTTTCTTCTAATTTTATTGCGGGCTCAATGACATCAAACTGTAACGGTCAATTAAAATAAAGTTCGTTTTTTTGCAAAAAGTTTTTGTATTCGATTACCTCTAGATATTTAACCTCTCATGTAGGTAGGTATAATATCATAAAGAATAGCAGGATTGGAGTAACTGCAAACATGAGTTAGGGGCAAAAACACACCATGTTTGGTTATCCTTTTTGTATGTAGGTACTTTGTATAACAACAGAACCTAACATTGTCCTTTAATATGAAATAGACCACATAATACGAGCCCTGAGGAATTATTAAACTCGAAAACAAAGCAAATCTGTGACCGGGAGAGATTAAATTTATTATTCAAAACAATTTTCTTGAACAAAGCCCGTTGGACCGCAGCCTTTGCTCCAGTTCATAAAATCTGCAGCAATTTGAATAATTCTAAACCTACGTCATATTATTTTAAGAGGAATTTGGCGCCCGGAAATTTATTAAAATAACGAAAATTACATTTTCAATTCTACTTTAAGACTAAAGAGCTTGTGTAGATGATTTATCTTTATAAATTAAAGTACGCTAATTATATTATTAATGAACCGTTTTAATACATGTTCAACTCAAATACAATAGTAATGACACAAACTCAATTACAGTTTTCTCAACTCTCTACTCATTTTTGTTTCTGAACACAGACACAACTCAAAATCTGTTAAAGCTCGCAAAGAGCAAGTGACGAAAAGTGAAAATTAAATGGAATACATTAAACAAACAAGATTTACTGTGCTCTTTGTTCTAAGTTTGTACATAGAAGAAGCATTATTAGGTTTACACAGACGTGACCCACCGCGCCTTGTGTTTGCTCAACTACTCGTATTTAGTCGCGCAGGTGATATACGGATACGACTCTAATCTAATGTTTAATAATGAAACTTACCCATTAGAATATAAGGTCTTAATTCGCACATCGTAATTTGTTTTTCAAGCTCTCGAAATATCTTCAGGTTAAAAATAAAACGGTATCAAATATTGAGCACTTATTTCGTTTATAATTAAATCGCAATGGAGAGTCCATTTTTCTAACATGAGAGCCTAAGTTTTTACTAACATTATGGATCCCTGTTATCCGAAATAAATACTTTTTATTTTATTTTATTTTATTTATTTATTTTTATTTATTAGCCAAAAAATAAGACGTTTATTTTGTTAATTATGTAGAATCTTAATTTTCTAAACTTTAGCCGTATTTAAAGGCTATTAACGTTTGCGTCATCCGAATTAATATTAATTAATGTATCAGACGTTAATCTAGTTAATAGCTGTGTTCATGAGATAGGTATAATACTTATCGATAAACTTATCGATATAAAAATACTAACGCCCGTATTCACAAACATTACTATGAGGTCTCACAGTGCGCGTGGGTGGGTGACGCACGAACCAATCACAGAGTTCTATTCAACGCTGTGAATTCGATTTGCTGCTTCACTTAAGCAAGTATCGTTTGTGAATACGGGCGTTAGTGTTGTGAGTGTCATTCAACACAAGGTAGGGTAGTTGATAAGATGCCAGATAAATGAGAGTTATTTTCCTTACAGTTCAGACTGAACGCCTAAAGTTCAAGACAATTCATTAGTTATAACATTAGTTATTAATCATGCGAATGTTTCTCGTCTATCACTGACTAACAACAGGAGCTAGAGTGTCACATTGTATTGCTATAGGAAATATTTCAATTCATATAATAATTGAAAAGCGAACCAAACCTCCCATCCTTTCAATAGTGTTTCCATTTGTCCACATTAGTCATCATTAAAGCGGACTTCTGCCCGTGTGTAACATGAGAGGCATTGTTAAAACCGGAGCTTCCGACGCTCCCGTACAAGTTACATTTATTTCAGTTTCCACATTAGTTAATAACGCAAAGATCTAAAAAAAATTAAGGCAAACCTACTGAGCACCGTATCCTTTCAATAGTGTTGCCATTTGTCCACATTAGTCATCATTAAAGCGGACTTCTGCCCGTGTGTAACATGAGAGGCATTGTTCAAACCGGCGCTTCCGACGCTCGCTCCCAGACTAGACGCGGTCGGTAATTGTTCAGTTCTGACTCTATTAACTGAGAGATTTGAACAGAATTCAAATGGAATGCAAGAGTAGAGTTACACGCGCGTTAAATAACTAGGCTGAGTTACACCATCAACTTTGACCGTAACTACTACTACCACCCTTAAGCTGGATTGCACCATCTTACTTTAACTTTGATAAACGTCAAAAATCTGTCAAACTCCAAACAAAAAACACCGGTTATCGTTATAGCCACAGTTAAAATTAGGAAAAGATTGTTTCAAACCAAAATAAGACTGAAACATCTGAAAGCTCAAAAGATAAAAGGCTTTTTTGTCTACTTCCTCCATAGTAAAAGAACCTTTGTTCAAATCGATCAAATCAAATCAAACCATTTTTATTAGCGAACATTTGTATACATTACAGTAGGTGTTTGTTTAGAAGTTATCTTCAAATTGAGGATTTGTAAGAAAACGTTAACCAGTAACGTTACGACTCGCGAAGATGTTTAAACTTTAGCTAAGTTATATATGCAAGAGTTATTTTAACCGTCATGTGGACAGAGCCTTATGGGTTTTCCGGCTGCATCGTATGTGGACTGCTTCCGGCGCGTTAATTACGCCGGTGCAATGTTACCGCTCGAATGGGGGGAAATTGCTAGTGTGTTTTCTTGATAGAGTTGTTCAGTTAGACTATAAACTTGATGCATAGATAATTAAACTTGATGCATAGACTATAAACTTAATATTTATAATGCTTTTATAAATATTCTTGCACTTATCATACTATTCTTTATGAACTACGAACATAAGAGATACTTATACTATGCAGAATTCTAAACAGCATGTAAGTTTGGTAAAAGATAATAATTCTGTTAATTTTGACATCAATAATTACAATAGTAGTGGTGATTTAAGGTTTTTCACCATGGTGGTGGTGGCTTTTGGTGGTTTAACATACCTTTCCACAACTTTAGGACTAGCTTTGAACACCGTCCGCCATTGCAAAAAGGCTTCAAGAGAAATTAACTAACATTTGTGTTGAATTACGCTTATACCGTAAAATGTAAGTACTGAAAATTTTTCGTTCACGGCACGCGCACGTATACACAACGACCGGCTGTGGAATCTACGCCGCAATCCACTTCCGGTTACATAAAATATTTCAGGGGACTATTTTTCTAACAAATTAGTTTCAGAGGTCGCTTTTAATTTATCAAGAGGCTCCACTCAATAAATTCTGGACCGTGGCATAAGTTTTTAAGCCCGTATTCACAAACGATGCTTGCTTAAGTCCTCTCCCCTCTTGGACCCCGACTGTGTCGGACGTGTTTACTCAAAGCTAGTGAAGTAGTTTAAGTAGTTTTTAATAATTTAATTCGAAAGTGGAAACCGTAAATTCATTACAATAAATAGGAGCGCNGTACACGAGTCGCGCCGAACCTCGGACAAATTGACCAGCTGAGTGACAATATCGCAATTATTTCATAGTCACCATACAACGTTTGACAACAGACCAATTTCATTACGTATCCACCACGTAATAGGTGCACCAAACACATTTTGCACACTAAGTTTTAATTAAATTTATTAAATTATTATGAGATCCGATAAACTTGTTCTAAGTATTTTTACTACCGATGTAGCCTATTGTGTTAGCGCTTAGTTAAAATACATTCCGTACCTATTTATTCAATCAATGCCTATGTAGATGGCTGACAAACTAGGCTCTCAAAAAGTATCTTTTCAGTTAATTAGGTATTGTAATTAACTGGTTCTTATTACTAGGTTGAGAGCCTATCTGTCCCGGCTCTCCATTTTGACTTGTCCATTTAATGGTCAATCAAAATGCCAGCTTAAAATCTAACGATGCCAAGCACTGAATCGGTTGTTTACCAAATCAATGTATAAGGCGTCTTTAATGACAGTGACCCAGTGCCAGACAGTTACACAGATATTAAGGTATTGCGAGCTCACCAAAATACCCACGCATCCCTGAGACCGCGTCAAAGACGACAAATCAAAACATAACCTAGCTACCCCTCTAACTCCTCTCGCCTCTTGGACCCCGACTGTGTCGGACGTGTTTACTCAAAGCTAGTGAAGTAGTTTTTAATAATTTAATTCGAAAGTGGAAACCGTAAATTCATTACAATAAATAGGAGCGCATAAAACGGCAGAAGCTACAAACATAGAAACAAACAAGCTGCGATTCACGTAAGTCAACTTCACGTAGCGATAAACAAACCTCTATTCATCCCACTCACACTCGCACAAGGTAAACTAGAGGGTCAACTTAAACTGGACGGAAAGCAAGTTTGTACTAAAGTGTCGATACCGACCAACATAGAGAGACCCCTGACCGCTGTCTGCGAAACGAGCCGTTTTAACTTCTGAGATCCTGGTACTTCGCGATGTCTCTCAAACGTACACCTCCACACACTCCTGCGACGATGTCCCCTGCACCCCCGGCCCCCGCGCGGAAGCCCGCAGCCTCGGCTGCCGCGCCCGCCCTGCCTACGACGTCACAACAGCTAAGTGCGGAAGCGGACGCAGCACTGGATACTGTCACCATGCGCAATGTAAGCAAGCGTAAATTTCAATCAGACCAGGAGATAGTAATGCGCGAATTTATGTCAGAGATGAGAACTATGTTCAATAATTTTACTGATTCACAAAACCAAAAACTTTCCTCAATACAAAACTCTGTGACGGTTATTAAAGAGCAAAATGACGAAATTGTCAAGTCGCTAGACTTTTTGAGCCAGAAGTACGACGAAATGCGGGAAGAAATAGACAGTTTTAGAAAAGAACAAAAGGAAAGCCGAAATTACATTGACACACTTGAAAGAAAAATTGAACAATTAGAACGGAAATCAAAATCAAATGAAGTGGAAATACGAAACATACCAAAACCAACTGGCCTGGAAACAACTCAAGATTTACGAAAATCTTTTCAAAACATCTGCTCTGCGATTGGCGTGAACATAGGCGATGGAGAAATAAAGGCATTATACAGAATTAATACGAAAATAGAAATAAACAAGCCAATTATTGTTGACTTTGTTAGCAGCACATGTAAAGAGAGACTTTTATCTGGATTAAAGTCATATAATGCCCAGTACTCGTCCAATAAGCTAAATACAAAGCATCTGCATATAAGTGGTCCGGAACGTCGTATCTTCATCTCGGAATCACTCACCTTTAAGGCGAAGAAGCTTTTCCGCATGGCAAGAGACTTTGCTACTGAAAATAAATACCAGTATTGTTGGACATCGCATGGAACCGTGTACCTGAGACAAAGGGAAGGATTAAGGGCGCTAAAAATTACTTCTGAAGAGGACTTACCAGTACCGGAGTCGTCATCCAAATGACTAGATGCATGTTGTTTAGATTATTTTAATTTATCTTGTTTATCATTGTATATAAATTCTCTCCTACTCGTCATACACGCAAAATACAATAACATAAACTCATACATACACTTAAAAATGATACTCATAAACACACACATACACATACTTTACACGATGGGGCTGGCAATACTAGGACATTATTACCATAAGAATATACCCAGAGTTTTTCTCAGAAACACAAATAGATATTTTTCTTTTAAAAGTTCTCTTATGTATTTCAGTCAATCTGCTTGTTATTATATCTTATTAAGTCCAATATGGGTACTACAAATAAAATTATAAATGATATTATTGACGAGACAGACGCTATTAAATGTCACCAAATATTAAGCCCCGACACTTGCTCACAGTTTCTTACACCTAGAACAACACATAATGCAAAAACACTATGCATTTTAAGTCATAATATTCGCAGTATCAATAAAAACTTAGATAACTTCCTATTATTCTCATTCTACATAGATGTTCACGTTGATGTTTTTGCATTTAGTGAGTGTTGGACCGCAGCGGACTCTATTCTTCCCTCGATTAGTAACTACAACGCATACCATACAAAAAAAAGCTACAATCAAAATGATGGAGTAGTTGTCTATGTCGCCGATTACCTAAAAACTAATATTTATGAACCGGAATACATGTCTGATTGCAACTGTCTTGTTGTGGACTTAGATCAGAAGCTATCAATCATATGCCTATATCGTTCCCCAAGCTTTAAAAATCTAACCAATTTTATTGACTCCCTTAATAAATTACTAAATACAATTAAAACAAAATCGATAATCCTCACAGGAGATTTAAATATTGATACGCTCAACGCCGGCTGCAGTGATACGGCAGAATATCTCGATGTTCTAGCTGCAAATGGGTTAGTCCAAGGTATTACGATGGCAACAAGATCTCCATCGAACACCTGTCTTGATCACTTCATGGGCAAATGTCAATTTCCTTGGGAAACGGCTGTCTTTGAGGGAACAAATATTACAGATCATTCGCCCATTTTGTTTTATTCAAACAATGTCTACTATTCACATAAAACTAATGTACCAAAAATAAAATCTAAGTTAAATTACAACGCTATAGAAGCCTATTTGGAAGAATCTTCTTGGAAGGAGTATTATGAGAGCACTGATGCCAACTGGTGTGCGGAATACTTGATTAATCGAGTTCAACACGCTATCAGTAATTTTTCTGTCTCCATAGAATTATCAAAAAAACGAAATCCTCTCAAGCCGTGGATAACTGCAGGTGTTATCAGATCATTAGCAAAAAGAAACAGAATTCACAAATCNATCGTTTAGTCCTTGGAAATGTTTGATAAATACGTTTAAAAAGCTTTAAAAGCCGTTTTTAAAATTGTGACAGTTGACGAATTAAGGATCTATGCATAATGATCCTGAAAATGTACAGCTATCGACTATAGAGGTGTTTTACGATGAACCAATTCCAACCAAAGTCCCATGCGCTCGGAACACTTTGAAACTTACGGTCGCCTATTTTTCCGAAATATCCGATTATATGACAGTAACGTCACTAGAGAAATTTAGAATGGTTAATTCTTAATAGTAAACAGCCACTTTTTTTCCAAAAGTCTTCAGTTTAATAAGGGAAACTGACCAGCATAGTCGTATCGCCATTCGTGACGAAAATGTGAGCTTTTACACGTCTCGTCAAACAACTGACTATTTGAACACTCAAAATATGAAATAAACAGGTCCAATGCTACAAAATTCTTGCTTGAAATCTAAACACTTCTTTTGGTACCCATATATTAAAATTAAATGCGTGAACAGCGATTTATGTAGCCAGAAGAAACTGTCGGTGCGGTCAAAAACCATGCTTTGAAGGTGCCTCAAGCTGAGTGGAAAAAATGCTATGAAAAGTGTTTTGAACACATTAAAAAGTACATAAATCATGAAAGACAATACCAATAAACGCAATCAATACCATTTTAATAATAAACAACTTTGTTTTCATAGTTAGGCTCACAACTTAAATAGTGTCCCACGTATTCCTGTATGCGAACTGACAGGTGGTCAAAACGTTCATCAAAAGATGTCGTTGTAATCCTCCATTATTTATTGCATTAGTATCTATCTAATGAAATCCTAGTATGTGTGCCCGATTTTTTTTTATCGGCCGATAGTTTAGTCGGGCAGTTAATCAGTATGGGCTGGGCATGTATAGAAGTGCGCACATTCCACCGATTTGGTATCGGCGGATTCTTCATACAAATTAAAATCGGACCCAACTATACAGGGTGGAAACGATAAGTGATCTCACTCGATTATTTCTAAACTATACAAGATTTCGAAAATCTGGTTACTGATCCTGAAAGTGCTTCACGAGCTCTTTCAAACGGTATCAGTAATGGATTACAGAATTAATTGGATCTATCCGAAAATTCTGTGTTTTCAGCCTCCATACTAAATGTATGCCAGCCACACAATATTAGAAGTGTCATTTTTTTAATGAAATAATTAACACTTAAATTGAACTCCAATTGGCATTCTCATTTAAAATTAAACATTGGTTTTAAGCTTTACTTGCTATAATATTATCAAGACATGAGTGCCATGACTGTAGCAGTACTAAATGTATGGAAGTTGGAAACATTGAATTTTCGGTTAGATCCAGTTTATTTTGTAACCTATTATTGGTACCCTTGAATAGAGCTCGTGAAGCACTTTTAGGATCAGTAACCAGTTTTTGGATATCTTGAATAGTTTTTAATATTATGTGGTTTTACTAAATGTATGGAAGCTGGAAACATTGAATTTTCGCATAGATCCAGTTTATTTTGTAACCTATTATTGGTACCGTTGGATAGAGCTCGTGAAGCACTTTCAGGATCAGTAACCAGTTTTTGGATATCTTGTATAGTTTAGAAATAATCGAGTGAGATCACTTATCGTTTCCACCCTGTATAGGCCTACTAAAAGTCGGTGGTCTGCGCCTAGGCTAAAAGTTATGGATAATAATATAATCCCAAACACTACCTATCTGGGAAATTGAAAATAAAAAACCGTGTGTACTCTTAAACTAATCTCCTATATAATTTGACTAAAACGAAGTAACAAAAGTGGTTTTACTTTATACTTTCTGCTTGACGACGTGGGCCAGGTCGTATTTGCCGCGGACGCACTTCAGCTTCACTCCGGGACAATCCTTTAACCTGGAATTGAGAGGAAAAACATTTGAAAAAATATGAAAACTTGAGGTAGTGCCTTGATTTGAATTTTATGCCATTTAAAAATATTGGCATTACAAAAGTTGTGGATAGATCAACCAATAATTTACTAATTAGTTTTGCAGGGCAATCGAATACCGCACTTAGCCTCATGATTGGGCCATTGTGTGCCAGCTAATAATGTAAATCGTATAGGTAAATTAATTTTGACTATTGTATTTTGGCGTCATTCGTAAAAATGAAGAAAACTCATTTTTTTTACAAGAATGCTATTGTAATAAAATTCTTGTTGCAATATTATCAACAAACGACGTGCAAAGCGCGAACCCTTGAAGACTGTTAGCGCCATCTAGCTATGATCTGTGTAAACTAATAAATGCAACACAAAAGTTTGTTGCAGTTTTGTTTTTTATTTACTTACATAAAATATAAATATCATTCCAAAAATATCCACTAATATTAAGTAAGTCAACTTATTGAAAATGGTACAAAGTGGCCTGAAAATTATCAACATCAAAAAATATATTCAACTAGCTTTCCGCCCGCGGCTTCGCCGGCGTTGAATTTTGTCTGTCACAGAAAAACTTTATCGCGCGCGTCCCTGTTTCAAAAACCGGGATAAAAACTATCCTATGTTCTTTCCCGGGACTCAAACTATCTCTATGCCAAATTTTATCAAAATCGGTTGCGAGGTTTAAGCGGGAAAGCGTAACAGACAGACAGACAGAGTTACTTTCGCATTTATAATATTAGTTGGGATAAATGTTATTGTATTCTTATGAAATACTAATTATGATTGATTCGTTTTCTTACCTGCCAACTCTAACTAAAACTATATTGTGCTCCTGGAGATTGTGTCCAATGCCGGGGACGTATGCCACCATCTCTTTACCATTAGATAAGCGTACCAGCACACATTTCCTGTTGGCCGAGTTGGGTTTTTTGGGCTTCTTGATTAATGTTTTCAGTACTACACCCTGGAAACATTTAATATGCTTGTTTAGAGACAGCAATTAGTGTAACAATTAAAAAGATAAGAATGATAAAGACAGTCAGAATATTTTTTTAAGCAGCAGTCAGGTATCTTTTACAATTTACAGGAATTATACAAACAATTTTTTTTGTTAAAATGCATAAGTATTATAATATAAGAAGTCATTTGGCTTATTATTAATAATAATTGAAATTTAAAGTATAGATATTACAAGGCATTGTAGAACTTTGAAACATTTAGAACCATCTTATTGGAATAAGTGATAATGTTTTAATCTGATTATCAGAAATTAGGTAGGTAATTTGTAATATTATAATGTTTCTCTACAACAAAAAACTACAAGTAAGTAAAACTAAGTTTTACCAGGTTTATTTACCAGTCTGTAATTAAAGTTTTCATGATTATTAATCTATGATTATTTCATGTTTTTTTAATAAAATCTGTATACCTTTGCAAATGGGTTTCCATTGAGTGGGTTTCTTGATTTTCTATCCTTAATGTGGGGTCCAGTTCTGTGCATCTGAGCCAGGGATGCCATGGCCCTGGACAACAGACTTTGGCCAGGAGCAATCTGAGCTATGGGGTTCGGCAGAACAGAGGCCAATGAAGGTGGAACGGGAACTGAAATTAGTTGCAGTGTTGTACGTAAAAATAGTGAAGTAAGATTTATTGTTATTAAACTTTCGTTAATTTAGTATTAAGAAATCAGACAATAATTAAATGTGAACTAAAAATAGAAATACCTATTGGTAAGTAGGTACCTTACCAGATTTTTTTTTAACTAGCACACAGTATTATTGTGAACATGTAAGTTTATTAAGTAAAACTGATTGTATAAATACCTTTTATTTGATGTATTTGAGATTTAATACCAACTGAAAGAAGCGACAGCCCTTTCCTGAGGACGTTCATCTAAAAACCATTTTTATCATTAGTAGTGTTCGATACAATGTAATCGAGTATGACGTAACATTTAAAATCAATTCAATACTTACCTTGTTAGTTTAATTGTAATTTTGTTCAGTTTTTACAGAAATAATAAAATATCAATGGGTCACAACATCCCTAAAATTTTGACATTGACAGCTTAACTTTTTGACACTGACGTTGACGTTTCATTACTTTTTTTCGTCTGCAGCCAAAGAAGTCTAACCAGTAAGGTTTGACCTAATAAAAAAGGGACTTGGCGAGAAAGTGAAGCATCGTGTTTAGTGTTTAGCAGTTAAAATGTGCATGAGTGTAGGCAATAGAAACAAAACGGTGCATAAATATCTTTTCAAGTTCTCTCAAGATCAAATTTTAATGTGCAAACCTCACGAAGACATAATCTCTCTCGCTCTAAACAAAAAAAAAGAAGAAGTTAAATTGTTTTGCTTTTGGCGCGATAAATAATTTAAAGTTTTAAATCAATTTACTTTATGCCCGTAAATCAACGCAGGATTATTTAAAGTTTAATGATTTTATTTACTTTAAATTTTTGTGATTTGAGTTTGAGTTTAGATTGTGTTAGGTACTTACAAAGAAAGTTTCACAAGTTAATCTTAAACTTTATTAAAACTTGATTAAAAGTAACTAGATTGTCTTTTTATTAAGTTTACTAAAAAGACAATCTAGTTACTTACACAATGTGCTTTTTCATAAAGGTGGTAAGTAAATAAAAGATAAATAAGTAGATAGTATAAGTGTTTTAATAATACCGTTCGTGCAAGTATTTTACCGCTGTTTATTTAGAATCAATCAACGGATAGATAACAGTACTTAGAAAGAATTACAGAAAATATAAATATTTTTCTGGATAGGAAGATATTTATAATTTATTGTGTTGCATTCTGAACAGTTAGTATTTCGCAAATGTACGGCTGACGCTGGTGGCACCACCAGTCGCGAAGTCCGAAGTTCATAGAGTCCATCCCAACGCAGTGCGGCTCCGCAGGGTTTTCACTGAAAAACCAATCTTAATTTTATGTTATTTGTAAGAGATGCAGGATGCTGCGTGCAGGCAAATGTGAACCGAATGCCTGCAGTATTTGGGTTGTTTATTTATGAGATGTTACGTATTACGGGTGACCTGCATCATTTCTTTCACGCATGTTCTTTTGTTTTTTGCGCTCGCTGGTTATTTGTTAAAAATATGTAAGTAGGTCAAAAACAAATTAGTAATTTGCTCTGGCACATCTGAAATATTTACGAAACGACGGATTTAAAAAAAAATTCTGTTGTTACCTACTGATAAAGATATATTATAAGTTATGTGCATGTGTGTAAGTAAGTACCTATGCCATATGTTCGTATGTATTTGTTTTTTTTTACTCGTAATTCATCATTACCTTTTCAATCCGTTTTGTCCAGCCCAAGTGTGAAATTCTGTGTCTTCTATGTTTTCACCTGTTACCAAAAATAAACAATTAGGCATTTCAGCTTGAGTTTAAGCCAAATACAGTTAAGTAGGCCTACAATTAAAATTCAAGATTTACCGTCAACATTCGCCCAGACTTGATAGTTTTTTAGGTTGCTAATGCCAAGCCACACTAAGAGTTTGTATTCCGTGCCCACAATACTCTGGTACTGCATGCTCCTAACTATTTTCTGGATAAACTCAAATTGATCCTGAAAATAAATAAGATTGTTATTATCGAACAAAGGTACTTTACCCTGTGTAAACGATACTCAATTAGGTACAAGAAAATAAAAAAAAAAGGTTTTCGTTCGATGGATCGTAAATGTAGGTAACTATCCATAATTTACTATTTGAAAGATTTACTATTTGGAGATGCTCTACATATTGTATGAGAATAAAGCATGGAACCGTCATGCCAATTGCTTAAACCATTCATTCAGAAGTAGGACGCTTTTCAAGTAGGCTGTCTGCATAATAATCAAGGAAAATAATTTATTATACAAACCCTGGTCTTTGGCACCGCCAATTTGGCTCCAACATTGGCGCAATCATCCCGAGCCTCCGTCCATGTTTTGGCATGATACATCAATTTGTACCCATGACTGTCATTTGGGTTTACAATGTAATCTAAAGAAAGAAAATAGGTAAATATTATGTGACGTCATTTACTAGAATAGGTAATAAGTAATAACAACAAACAGTCGGGTTGTTGTTATGTTATTCTCAAAGGTTATCAAAGCGTGCGGTTATCGCGAAAATTTGTATCGCTCTAATAGAATGCACTTATTTTAACATGTAACTAAACGCTATTTACCTAGAGTTGATAATGTAATAAATAGTTGTGTTAACTATACTATAATAATAGTGTTTTTATAATTCGTACCTTTTGGAACATCGCAAAGAGTTGACGCAATGGAGATTAGAAAGATAAATGTTCCAAAAGTTCTGAAACAAATTAACATTCTTATGTTCATATTGTTCATGTTAAATAAATCACAAGGCATAGGCACTATAATGTTACTGTAACTTGTCATTTACCTCATGTTGTTAGTTCTGTGGAGGGGCTCCCACAAGTATTTTGAGCTTGCTTGAGGGTTAACTGCAGCAGAAATTTGTCTTCCCCTAATAATAAAGTTGAATTTTAACTTTCAGTTTTTCACAGATATTTTTTCTTTTGACACCAACTTTTCCAATATCTCTAATTAAATGTTCGGTTTACTAATACATTCGACAACACAGTAGACTTACTTACAATAATTAGTTCTAAATACGCACAATTTAAAATGATAAAGAGGACACAGTGTTTAGATTTTATATGCTATCGTCCGAACCAAAACAGTATAAAAAGCGTTTTATCTGACCGCATTCTAAAATAACAGTAGTTAAAAGCAATAACTTACCCAAAAGTCTTGATGTTATTAATTACAAAGTGTGATTTGTGACCCTGTCACCTTGGTAACCAACACTTAGCTTCGGTGTAAGCAGAACGAGTTTTTCGCGTTCGAGTGTTCCTACTTTCTTTCACAGGTCCATCCGTAAGACAAAGCGATTGTCAACTGAGCAAAGTCTCGTTGAGATAACGGTTCAACATTCCAATTTACTTTAACCTTACTGTAAACCGTATTGAAGCCTCCACAAATCTCTCCTTTTTGGAAACCAACAGCTTCATTGCATTTTTGAGTGGTGTTTGGAGCAGGTGATATCTATTTTTTGCTTTATGTAGCGTGATAATATCAGGTAAAGTATTGCAAAAATGATCCAACCCGCATAAGTCACGGACATGACAGAATTTGCGATATTTGCGATACCCATAAGGCGCTACACATACTGAAAGCAGGAGCGGGATGAGGTCGAGTAAACGGTATTAGATTTGTCAGTAAACACGCACCGCTAAAAGTTAAAGGACCGCACAAGAGTGCGCGGGTCGGGTGCAGAACGGTATCGGCTACGATTGTCTTAATTTTTTTTACAACATTTTGAACGATTTTGAAAAGTTTATTTTTTCTTTTCTTTCGTTTTCGATCTTTCAATAATGTGTTTTTTTCTCTGTTTGAATAGTTTCGTTGATCAGTGATCAAGGTTATTGACATTATAGATCCGAGGTAATTGTTGCTCATTCATTAAAAATACTGACACCTTGAAAAGGAGTAGCTACAAACGATCCGCTCCTCTCATGCGTGTACTCACACTGTGTGTGATACGCTTTAATGCTTTTAACAATGCAATTACTTTGAAACATGTGTTTTTCTAATATGCCTATCAAATCATTGAAAGTAGGTAAAGTCGTTAAGGAGATATTAACATGTGGGAAAACTGGGTTTCCACCTAATCACGGCAAACGTATAGGATGTCCAACTGCAAGTTAGACCGACGACCTCAAGAATATAGTTGGCTGAAAAAGCAGGATTGGGGCCTGATTACTACACCATGCAGACTTTAATTATTATATACCGATAAGTGAAGATTGTAAAAAAATTAAATGTAACAATCACTAAGATATTCGTATTAAATATCACATGACGAGGTAGATATGTAGACTAGACTAAAGAAACTAGGAGATTATTTACTTAATCAGTTATTAATGGAAAAATATATTTTGCAATCAATAGATAAGATTTGCAATTAGGTAGGTACGTATCAATATAATGTAGAGACGTTTGTATCTATAACCACAGAATAATAATAAGTACTACCTATAACTACTTACATTTATTATAGGCCTACTAAATACATTGGAAAATTATGTATGTATTACAATAAAAAGGAAACAAACTATTACAGCGTAATCTTATTTTCAATCGAAATGAGTGCGCTATAGAGTAACAACTTCCGCAATATTTACACAATTAAAGCATTTTTTAGAAAATTATAAACAATGCTTTTAAATATTATAAGTCTTTCTTATTTACTCCACTTTTTTTCTTTCTATGAATCGGAGAGGCAGTCCATCGATGACGCTCTGTACAACGTCAAACTTGGGCTCCACGGGGGGGTCCACGGGGTGCGACTCGGGCGCCGGCTCCACGCTGAACCGGGACAAGATGGCCGCCAAGCCGGCCAGGGACTGCATCAAACCCAAGCGTTCTCCTGCAACGAATATAATAATAATACTTTACTTATTTGCACAGAAACATACAGAAAGGTGATAGATAGCGATGATTAGAAACATTGATATTACTTTACTTAATTGATTAACAAATCCGCCCTAAAATGTTAAGCCATTCAATAAATAGGTACCCCACGGATTTTTTTTGCGTTGTAGTCATAAAACATTATATCAATTTAGTATACTGATAAAAAACTAAACAAAATCAAAATCACGTTAGACATAAAAAAAATATAAAAAAAACATACCAATACAGGCTCGTGGTCCATCACCAAAAGGCAAATATGTGAATTTATTCGCCAATCCATTTTTAGGGTCAAATCTTTCAGGTCTGAACTCCGTAGGATTATCGAAGTATTGAGGGTCAGTCTGCAAAGCTTGCAAGGGGATTGAGATCATTACACCTTCATCTATAGTCAAGTTGAGATCCGTGAAAGTATACTTCCTACTACATCTCCGTGCCAAGTATCCCAGAGACGGAAATTTTCTCATACCTTCTCTGAAAGTCCAGTCAAGGTAAGTCATATCTTTCACAGCTTCATACGACAACTTGTTATCGTGTTTGCTTAGTACTGCATCTATATCGGCTTGTACCTTTTTTTGGACTTCAGGATAGTATGCAAGCTGATGTAAGGTGTAGCTAGTAGCCGACGAGGACGTCTCGAAGCCAGCGGCAAAGAACACAAACACCTGAGCTGCAATCAGCAAGTCGTCCAACTCCAAAGTCGCGTAGTCCGGGCTACCATCAGGTTTCACTTTCTCTAATGACTCTACCTTGATTATGCCTTTCTTCTTACATTCTAATAACAAGTCAATAAAATCATTTCTATTGGAAGGTTGGTAATTCCTTTGTTTCTGGATATCATTTACTAGTGTAACTATTTGGTTCTCTAGATGACCCAAAAACTTGAGTTGTCGAGTTAAACGCGGAAAATTATCTTTTAGTACATTAACGACCACTTGACGGAGGTCGAATTTGAAAATGTCAGCACCTAGTTTCCTGAAAGCGGATTCTTCTTCGTTGAGGGAGCCGGCATCAAGGCCAAAGCCGCAGGCGCCGATGAAGTCGGTGGTGTAGCGCGCCATGAGGTCGCGCGCGTCGATGGCTTTGCCTTTGCGAGCGGCGTCCAGCGCCCGCGCCTGCAGCTGCTCTGCGCGCTCCACTATCAGCGGGAACATCGCCTTCAACTTGCCGCTCGTGAACGCAGGGGTCATGCGCTGTCTCAACAAACGCCATAGATCTCCTTCGGCGAAAAACAAGTTGCTCAGAAGTGGTTCAAGACCCCTTTTATCCGGGTGTATCCCACGTTCATAGAAATGCACAAAGTCTGTCAGGAGAACATGCTTTATAAGCTCCGGATCCCTGATTAGTAAGCCTGGGGTACTAGATCTAAAGAATCCAACAACTTTTTCGTTTGGGTACTTTCTGTATAGATCCACAAAGCTCTGTGTAATACTTTTTCGCATTAAAAAAGTCTCGCGACCAGTACCGAAAAAAATTATAGGTTTATCATGTTTTACTCCACGTTTTTCCCAGTACTTAAAATTTCTTGTGTTATAGAAATAAATTGCAACGATAAAAATCAGAGCTATGATTATGGTAATCATTTTTATTTTTCAACACTACCAAATCCGAATGAAAATAGAGAACTAAATCAACGTATAAGTATTGTGATAGCTCTACACCGACTAAATTATATCAAACAGTCTCAATCATTATCAAGCCTGTTATCAATTAATTTCCCTAATCACTCTGATAACTTATTCTGTGTTTTGCACGCTTACAATACGTAGGTACATGTAAAAATCTGCATGAAGCGGGTTAACTATTTTATTCCCTGCAGTGCAGCGTTGCCATTCCTAAGATGATTGCCGTGTTTTACGGAAATTAGACATAATTAAAAGGAAATTTACGACTTCTACGATAGCAAACCTACTTGACACCTATCGACCCGCTCTGCTCACGAGAGCTTTAAGATTGTATATGACTGTGACTAACACACTAATACCTATAAGCAACTAGCGGCCGCCCGTGACTTCGTACGCGTGGATCCCGTTTTAGCCCCTTCATCTAGATAGATTGAAAAAATCTAAACCACGTAATCTTACGCGGTTTAGATTTTTTCATACAAATGTTTTTTCCCGCTAACTCTCGTTCCTGTGGGAATTTTGCAATATTCTGTTGTAACTAAGCCTCCTACCTCTTATATTAATGTACGGACAAACATTATTTAGGTAAATAACGCTTTAAAATATTTCATGCTGTAAAAAATATTGTCTATATTAAGAAAATGTTTGTCGTGTCTATTCAGAGGAGGTGTGATTTGTATGTAAGTGTGATCAAAGGACACTAAAATAATAATATAACTGGAGTCCCCATTGATCACCCAGGGCATCATATCCGTGGGTGATCAAAGGACACTAAGTTGTCGCTGGAAGTGGAATAGATCCGTTTAAAAGCAACCGACAATCAATAAAATGAGATGCAGAAAGAAAGAGCATAATATTAAATTACTTAGCGTAGCAGTATACTCAATATTGATGTCATTTAAACAATACTTTTAAAATTGAAAGTTTTACGATTTACTCCATTTTTTTTCTTTCTACGAATCGGAGTGGCAGTCCACCGGTGATGCTCTGCACGACGTCAAACTTGGGCTCTACGGGCGGGTCCACGGGGTGCGACTCGGGAGCCGGCTCCACGCTGAAACGGGACAAGATGGCCGCCAAGCCGGCCAGGGACTGCATCAAGCCCAAGCGTTCTCCTGCAACGAATATAAAAATAGTTAATTTATTTATTTATTTGCACAGAAACATGGGAGGCACCTACCTACATCCAGAAAGGTGATAGATAAATCAAGATCAGACTCAACATGTTTCGCCTTAATAACTTTATGCATGCTTTTTTTACGAAGAAAATTACTTGAATTAATTCAAATTAAATATTAGGACACCAAATTGTGGACTAAAATAAAAACCTCATTAATAACTTCGACCTACTCTAAATACAAATTTTCTGCATTCAAAATTAAATTACCAAAATACAAAATGCACGTAGCTAGATGTTAAATAATTTTAAAAGATACATACCAATACAAGCTCGTGGTCCATCACCAAAAGGTAAATATGTGAATTTATTCGCCAATCCATTTTTAGGGTCAAATCTTTCAGGTCTAAACTCCGTAGGATTATCGAAGTATTGAGGGTCAGTCTGCAAAGCTTGCACGGGGATCGAAATCATTACACCTTCATCTATAGTCATGTTCAGATCAGGAAAAGTATACTTCCTACTACATTTACGTGATAAGAATCCCAGAGACGGAAATTTTCTCATACCTTCTCTGAAAGTCCAGTCAAGATAAGTCATGTCTTTCACAGCTTCATAGGACAGCTTGTTATCATGTTTGCTAAGCACTGCGTCTATGTCGGCTTGGACTTTTCTTTGAACTTCAGGATAGTATGCAAGCTGATGTAAGGTGTAGCTAGTAGCCGATGAGGACGTCTCGAAGCCAGCGGCAAAGAACACAAACACCTGAGCTGCAATCAGCAAGTCGTCCAACTCCAAAGTCGCGTAGTCCGGGCTACCATCAGGTTTCACTTTCTCTAACGACTCTACCTTGATTATGCCTTTTTGCTTACATTCTAATAACAAATCAATAAAATCATTTCTGTTGGAAGGCTGGTAATTCCTTTGTTTCTGGATATCATTTACTAGTGTAATTATTTGATTCTCTAAATGATCCAAAAACTTTAGTTGTCTTGTTAAACGTGGAAAATTGTCTTTTAGAACAGTGACGACAATTTGGCGAAGATCGAATTTGAAGATGTCAGCGCCTAGTTTTCTAAAAGCAGATTCTTCTTCGTTGAGGGAGCCGGCATCAAGGCCAAAGCCGCAGGCGCCGATGAAGTCGGTGGTGTAGCGTGCCATGAGGTCGCGCGCGTCGATGGCTTTGCCTTTGCGAGCGGCGTCCAGCGCCCGCGCCTGCAGCTGCTCTGCGCGCTCCACTATCAGCGGGAACATCGCCTTCAACTTGCCGCTCGTGAACGCAGGGGTCATGCGCTGCCTCAACAAACGCCACAAATCTCCTTCAGCGAAAAACAAATTTTTGAGAAGTGGTTCAAGTCCCCCTTTATCAGGATGTACTCCACGCTCATAGAAATACACGAAGTCGGTCATAAGAATTCGCTTTATAATATCCAGATCCCTGATTAGTAAGCCTGGGGTACTAGATCTAAAAAATCCAACAACTTTTTCGTTTGGGTACTTTCTGTATAGATCCACGAAGGTCTGAGTGATACTTCTGCGCATTAATAAAGTCTGGGTAGCACTACCGAAAAAGATTACAGGTTTATCATATTTTACTCCACGTTTTTCCCAGTACTTAAAATTTCTTACGTTATAAAAATAAACAGCAACAATAAAAATCAAAGCTATGATTATGTTAATCATGGTAATTTTTGGGCACAATTAAATCCGAATGTAAATGGAGAACTTAATTGACGTATTGATATTGTGATAGCTGTTCACCGACTAAATAATAACCAACAGTTTCAATCATATAATGAAGTACTCTTGGCTTTTTATCAATTTTATTAATTATCCTAATCACTGATAATTTCTTCTGTATTTTACGCACTTGTATTATGTAAAATCTGCGTGAAGCGGGTCATTTTAATACCTGCAGCGTTGTCAGTGCTATCGCAATGTACTCATCGAGTACTCATTATAAAATTGGACAATATTATGTAATTGAAAGTAAATATACGGTCTACGGTAGCAAACCTGTGACCGTAGTAAAATATACGGAAATTTTGAAAGGCTCTACGAGTATTTTGGCAAATCCCTAGCCAGAAAATGGAAAAAAATCATGTTTTATGATTTTGTGTGCCTAGTCAATAAAATAAAAAAACTAGGATCTATCCGATTATCGATAAAAGAAACAGAATGCACAAATCCTTAAAAAAACAATACAATGATAGCTTGAAAATGTTTTATAATACGTATCGCAATTGGTGCACCAAAATTGTCAAAACTCTTAAACAAAAATATTATAAGATCCAATTGGCCAAAAACTTAAACAATGCTAAAGCTACCTGGAAAATTATAAAAGAAGTTGGTAATCTTAAACCCAAAAACCAATCTACTAGCAACCTACTTGGGATCAGAGACAATCCGACCGATTCACTTGATCATGTTAACAATTACTTTACATCTGTAGGAAACGATCTGGCAAATATTACCCTCAATAAACTTTGTGTAAATGAAACAGTACTAGCAAGCAAATCCAGAAAGAAAAATGGTCCATCCGAATCCATGTCTCTCTATCTAACAGATCATTACGAAGTCACAGCAATAATAAATAATCTTAAATCTAGTTGTGCCCCAGGCTGGGACAATATCTCAAACGAATTTTATAAAACTTGCAAAACCACCCTCAGTAAGCCCATAGCACATTTATGTAACATTAGTTTCACAACTGGTGTCTTCCCTGACATCTGCAAAAAAGCTATTGTTTCCCCTATTCATAAAACAGGTGATACCTCTAATCCCTCAAATTATAGACCGATTTCCCTTCTCTCATCTTTATCAAAAATAATTGAAAAACTGGCTGCCAAACGATTAATCAGATATTTAGAATCAAAAGAGTTACTGGCGCCTAACCAATATGGATTCAGAACAAAAACCTCTACTGAAGACGCAGTTCTTAAATTAACTTCCAAAATATATAACGTACTAGATGAAAAACAAAAATGTATAGGCATATTTCTTGACTTGCAGAAGGCTTTCGACACAGTCTCAATTCCAATACTGATTTCACGAATGGAGAATTTGGGCATCAGGGGAGTCACACTTGATTGGTTTTCTTGCTACCTAAGTGATCGAAATCAAATGGTTCGAGTCGAAGGGCAAATGAGCAATACCGCCTCATGTACCTATGGAGTTCCTCAGGGCAGTATCTTAGGTCCAACGCTATTCCTTGTGTACATTAATGAACTATGTAACATGCAATTACANTCGTATTGAAGAACGTTTGGCGCCGAATACATTCCGGCGGATTTTCATTCAGCCGTATTCAATCCGCCTAAACGTTGAACCGCCGTATTACAAAACAGAGCTGTAATGTAAAATGCCTAGTGGTAATGTAAAACGGCGGATTATACAATCCGACTGCGACATTACTTCCAAATACTCCAAAATGGTATTGTTTCTTGTCACTCACTGGTATCTAATTTCCTATTTCTGATAAATATACTGTAACAAACATTGTCTTTTGCAGCCTAAAGCTAAGAAGAAGTTCATCGATCGCAAAAAGGCTGTAACTTTCAATTTAGTGCATCGTTCACAACGTGATCCCCTCGCCGCGGATGAATCAGCACCACAGAGGGTTCTGGTGCCAGTAAATGCTGCAGTACCTCCGAGAAAAGAGAAAGATCCAGTAAGTAACCTAACCTCTAAAATTTTTACATCAACTCACTCTCTCCTTTCTTACTAGCCTAGTATCCTAATAACTTATAAGTATACGCCTATAAACAATTTGTAGGCTCTTCTTTGGCTTATACTAGAGCTAAAACCTCTTCTAAATACTCAACACAAATAATAAAAACAAATGCGTGGTATTTTTACTAAAACAAATAATTTGCTAAATCACACGAGAATACACAAAATTATAGACTAACAATATTTTAAATCAATTTCATTTTTGGAAGACAACTTCATTTTTTACCCCAACTGTATGTTTTAAAACTAATTTTCCAGGATTTGACCCCAGAACAGCGGAAGGAAGAGCAGCAAAAATATGGCATCTTCTTTGATGATGACTACAACTACTTGCAGCATCTCAAAGACACCAGAGAAGTCACCATGGTCATGCAGCCTGTAAGTTTTAGTTTCTACTTTCTACAAATTACGAGTATTTCACAATAGTAACAACATGAGGTGATCAAGAGCATTACCTGCACAACTTAGAACATAATTTCTATTCCTGCCTGAGTATGTTTTTTTTTAATGTGTCCATTTTGCGAATGGTACAGTCTGCATCAAACCCATTTGTTTCATTGAGACCTGATGATAAACTTAGTATTTTACCATCATGCTCATAATGTTAATAAAAGACTTGGGTACTTATATCATATATCTATGTATAAAGTTAGGCCTTTTCAAGTGTATAAAGTTCAATTTCAACTTATTCAATTGAATTAAATTCAAATAAAATTTAATTCAATACCTTTACAGAAAACAGTACACAAAAGGAGACCAAAAGCAGTCACAAGTGAGAACCCAGAGGACTTTGATGTTGATGATGAGGATGATGAAGAGAAACCAGCCAAGGCTGTAGCAGGAACACTTCAACTGCCCAGCTCGGTGTTTGCTTCGGAAGTCGAGGAGGATGTGGGATTGCTGAACAAGGCTGCTACACAAGGTATTTGCCACTTTGGATTATTGTTTACTACTATAGTTTGGAGGAGGCCTTTGTCCAGCAGTGGACGTCGTTTGGCTGAAACGACGACGACGACTATAGTTTGTGAAACCTTAACTTCAAACTCCTCTTATGTTCTTCTGATTAATTTTGTTGCGGGTCCAATGACAGTATAACTTTCCCCCGGGACACACTTAACCTTCACTGGTTGGGTTATTGGCGGTCAAGCTGTAGATCCTGGCTACACAGGAGTTGCAGTGGTGGGAACGAGAGGAAGGATTAGTCCCGTACCATAGTTTGTAGGATTTATCCCAGGATGCACAAAGAAAAAGTATTGATGGGAATATTGGCACTCAAAAATAAAATAAGTTGTATTTTATGAATTGGCTATTTTCAAATTGATTTTTTTAGATGTCATTTGGCTGAAACGGAATAACTATATTGATTTGTAAAAACAAAACCTACATGCTTAGAAAAGTGAACTGAACTGGGTATTGCTTGAAACTCTATAGAGCAACATTTATTATTATTGTACTATTTATTTCTTTTTAGGTCTCTGCCTGGAGTTGGATCCCGAGGTGGTGGCAGCCCTGGATGAAGACTTTGACTTTGAGGACCCCGACAATCAGTTGGAAGACAACTTCATTGAACTGGCTATGGGTGAAGGTATGTTTGGATTTAATTTTATGTTTTTGGATAATTTCTTTTGAATGACAACCATCTGGTTAAAAAATATATTTTTATAATGTCCCTTCTATTCATTGCTATGCTTTTCGAGCTGCATGTTATTTGCATGTGTTAAACCTTAGCCTTACATAATGCAATTTGTGCAATGAATAAAACTAATTTTTAAAGATTTGTTTTTCTCAAAATAAATCAACTGTTCTACAATATTTTAAATGGAATATGTATTATGAATTTCATACAGTCACTTATAGTCTGGTCGCCGAGAACGTAAAATTTTGTCCAATGACCCCAAGCTATCTATCCTTATCGCTCGCGCGTAATTATACAGGGTGGAAACGATAAGTGATCTCACTCGATTACTTCTAAACTATTATACAAGATATTGAAAAACTGGTTACTGATCCTGAAAGTGCTTCACGAGCTCTTTCAAACAGTGCTAATAATAGGTTTCAGAATAAACTGGAACTATCTGAAAATTCAATGTTTCCAGCTTCCATACATTTGGTAAACTTACATAATTTTAAAAACTACACAAGATATCGTAAAACCGGTTACTGATCCTAAAAGTGCTTCACAAGCTCTATTCAACGGTATCAATATCAAGTTACAGAATAAACTGGATCTATCCTAAAATTCAATGTTTCCGTCTTTCATACATTTAGTATTATCACAGTCATGGCACTCATCTCTTGATAATTTTATAGCAAGTAAAGCCTAAAACTAATGTTTTTCACAAATAATTTTAAATAAGATGCAAGTTACGAGTTTATTTAACCGACTTTTGAAGTTTATTATTTAACAAAAAATAAATTACACTTCCAATATTGTGTCGTTGGCATTCATTTAGTATGGAAGCTGGAAACATTGAATTTTGGGATAGTTCCAGTTTATTCTGTAACTTGATATTGATACCGTTGAATAGAGCTCGTGAAGCACTTTTAGGATCAGTAACCGGTTTTACGATATCTTGTGTAGTTTTTAAAATTATGTAAGTTTACCAAATGTATGGAAGCTGGAAACATTGAATTTTCAGATAGTTCCAGTTTATTCTGAAACCTATTATTAGCACTGTTTGAAAGAGCTCGTGAAGCACTTTCAGGATCAGTAACCAGTTTTTCAATATATTGTATAGTTTAGAAGTAATCGAGTGAGATCACTTATCGTTTCCACCCTGTATTGCTGTCGCGACTGTGCGACGGGCGCCCGCAGTGAGTGTACGAGCGCAACAGCAATATAATTACGCGCGAGCGATAAGGATGGGTAGCTTGGGGTCATTGGACAAAATTCTACGTGTTCGCCGACCAGACTTTAGTATTTGTAATACTATGCATAGGAGGAGATGATGACTTTGACGGTGAAGATGAAGATGATGAGGACGGCGACAGCGTGTCAGACGGCGATGACTCCGACAAAGCGTTCGCTTCGGACCTCGATTCTGATGATGACAGCGATCAGGTAAGTAATTTAACTGTACAGGCTTGGTACATAACTGATTTAAAAAAGGAGAGATTATTATTTCTTTATAAATCAGATATTTATAAACAAAAGAGGATCAGATCAGATACTACAGTTCACAGTAAAAATTAAATAAATAAAGGGGAGTCACACTTGATTGGTTTTCTTGCTACCTAAGTGATCGAAATCAAATGGTTCGAGTCGAAGGGCAAATGAGCAATACCGCCTCATGTACCTATGGAGTTCCCCAGGGCAGTATCTTAGGTCCAACGCTATTCCTTGTGTACATTAATGAACTATGTAACATGCAATTACACAATGGTGAGTTATTGATGTTTGCAGATGATACAGCCCTCATATTTCATGGATCTTCATGGGAAAATGTCAAGCAATGCGCTGAAAGTGGCCTCTCAATGGTTACTACCTGGCTCGAAAATAGTTTGCTCTCTTTGAACACAAGCAAAACCAAATATATCTGCTTTAGCATAACTAATTCTGGCCGGCCTGATGACACTTTCTCGATGACAATACANTTTATTTATTTATTTATTTATTTATTTAAGTGAATCAGCAAATCAAATGCGCACAGCGTTGAATAGAGCTCTGTGATTGGTTCGTATGTCACCCTGGGAGTTCACGCGCACTGTGAAACCTCATAGTATTTTTTGTGAATACCACGGGCGTTAGAATATCTTGGCTATTCATTTACAAAGATACAATTTAATTAAATCATACATGTACGCATGTGTACGAATTTCAAATCAATAATAGCCAAAACATTTTAACAAATGGTATTTTCCAATGCTTATTAATTTATTATAATCAAATTCTGAAAACACAAACAAAACTGATGATTTCATTTAATGAAATCACATGACATAAATTACTTTCAATTTAATTTCGAAAGAATCGCATTTAAATATTACAGAAATTCTCAATTTATCATAATAAATATTTTACTGAAACGTGTTTCCGAGAGTCCTTTATTAAATATTTTATATTGCAAGCGAATAAAATTATTTAAAGCAAACTCATCAAGACTCGGAGAATTATTTTAAAGCCTGCATGAATTTATAACGTAAAGAGCACCATTCTGCAATGTTAATTATCTCTATAACAAAGTTGTCTTTCTCTTTCCTTATTCATTGAATGAAAAGAAACACTACAGCTTTATAACTGTCTAACTTAAGTTATAACTCGTATGTATCTTTAAGTTTTTCTTTAATAATTTAATTCATAAAAACGTATATCGTTGTAGCCATCGTGACGAGAGAAACTACCAATACTTCTATTAAATCTATGTTAAAATATTTTCCAATATAGTTTTCTACCTTGAAATCTTTCCTTTAAATAGGTATTTGTTTCACAGTAATCAGTTTAAAGTGCCGTCCTATCTAGAGAAATAAAATGGAAAGCCTATAATTAAATGTCTAATTAATTTATTATTGCTTAACAAAAATGATTTTATCAAATTGACAAATAAGCGAAGAAACTGCAGAACTACGAGTTTTGCAACTACTTCCACATAAACCATACAAACATTTCCTCTAAAGTTTAAAACGAATACTGTCACAAAGACAAACTTGAACTCTTTAACGGTTCAGAGCAAAAGGACCCGCCGGCACCGCCGCTTTTGTCATTGTCAGAACTCACTTTAGGACTCTATCTGGATTAACATAAAGATCAGAATGGAATGAACACTCCCACATTATAGACTTTTCACCAGGCTAGTTTTACTATTTCACACCTCACATTTCCTCACATAATAAGCTTCCACATTGCAGGAAGAAAAGAAGATTGTAATACTTTATGATATTTTTAAATTAGCCCAGCTCCAAAGTCACCTGGCCGATTTTTGCGGAAAACTGTATGTAGGTATTTGGAATTGGACAAAAAAAAAATTTTTTTTTCGCAACTGTTCAGCCCGTCACAACCTGTACACTTACGAGTATAACGATAATTTAATATTGTTGAAGTCAGATTTATAAGACTTTCTAAAAGACAAAAGCCGCATATTTAATCCAACCAATCCATGTATATTTAATTAACCTAAGCTTCTAATAACAATACCTAAGTTAGGTTCGGTACTTAGGTACCTTGTCCTTGAACATATCATCTGTGCCTATATTAAATGTGTCATGTAATTTACATACTGTATAGTTTAAGCCCTGTTTCACAAGAGGGCTTAAAATTGAATCCCTCTATGAAATGGGTATTCGTCGTTTGTACCAATTTCTAAGTAGGAACAATAGAAATTAGTACATGTCTCCCATTTTACCTATTTTGAGATATAGGTTTATCAATAACATAATTTACTTTGAAGATTACAACTACCATTAAACGAGGTACTGGCAATAAAACTTGCAGAAGTTGACTTCCGCAAGCTGTTTCCAATGTGTAAAACTTGCAAAAGTTAGCTTTCCACAGCTATTTACACAGTGGTGACAGCTTGTGGAAGTCAACTTCTTCAAATTTTGTTGCTAGTCTAAACGCTTTAGCTTTCCAATAGCACCATAAATATTGAAATACTTACTTACATAAAATTCCGAAATCTATGAACATGACATGTATGTCGATGGTAAGTGGCCACTTATCTACTCTATAATAAGGCACCTACGCAACACACCTTTGGAGTATGAATTTCATTATATGTATATGCAAATGTTCTGTCCCGAAGCGACACGCAATACACGTCACGCCAGCCTACTGAAGTAAAAGAACTGACGGCACATCAAGATAACCCTTAGCATCTAATATAGTAGAAATAGGGGCGAGTTTCCACCAAAAATTTATTACAAGTCGTCAAAACATCGTGGTGGACTGTATAAAGCTGTGTCAGTTCGATTCAGTCATACGTCTTTACCATTATCGTTGCGTCATGTTATTCATAATAAATCAATATCCCCGAATTGTAGCCACGCGTCTTGTGAAGGTCTGCGAGTGAAAGTTGTAATAGATTTACTCCATATTAGGGCTTGAAGAGTGGAATAGAAATCCTTGGACATTGTCCTGCAGTAGACGTCATTTGTCTGAAAAGGTCGAACGAAATATCAGCTTTGACCAGCACAGTTCTTTGATTCTTAGTTCTCTTTGAAGTGGGCTTCAGTCGACTCTATGAGCCTTCGATGGCAGATACGAGGGTGGCGTGCAACAGCTAAGCATCGTTTCCACACGACATTCGTTAAAATAGTCCGCAGAGTTGAGCCAGAAGCCCCAGGTTCAGATTCAAGTCCCATTAATAGATTAGGAAGTCAAATAAAACATACAATTAATGAGTTTGCAAGCCATAATTATAATGAACCACCGACCCAAACTTGCCATCTCAATAAAATCAAAGGTATACCAACGAAATCAAAAGGAAAGCGCCTCAAGTAGCTTTTACAAATAACGATCTGGCCCGAATATCTTTAAGGAAAATGACGTTTGCATGGAACTCCTCGTTAATTTCCTCGTTATAGCTATTTAAGGGGATCTGAGAGATATAAAGAGGTCTTCATCTAATAAAGAAGGTCCGAACCGGGAATAACCCCTGGAGAATGTATTAAGGCCCATATCTCTCTTGATCGCTACATTTCCCCAGAAATGTAATACAAAAACTTTAGGAGTAAAAAGTTTGGTGTTGCTTGGTCATAATTTTCCACCAAACTTCTTAGATGGCACAATTACATGTTTCACTTCACGTTTTAATTCTAACGCAAACACTGATCACTTACTTACATTGAACTCAGCATCCCCAAAAATTTCACTATTGTACAAGATTGTGCCATAAAAAAGTAAACCATTTTACATATTCACAAGGTCCACATTCCAAATTTTCTGAAAGTTTTAAAAGAACATCCCACAAGGGACGCAAAGATTCATACTGTCGCCAACTCTTACGCAGAAAGATTAAAATACCTCAGGTAAGTCTGCCCTGGAAATTTACTTTGCTGATATTCACTGGCTCGAGATTTATTTTGTAATCTTGCGATAAATTGACCCGAGTAAATCTTGCCCGGGGATAGACTCCGTAAGTTTGGGCAGGTTTTTGTGACGTTGCCAATTTGGGAAATGAATAACTGATTAAAAGCTAAATGGAACCAGGAAAAATGGAAAACCTGTCATTGTCAAGTTCATGACTTAATCGTAACATAGGTAAATTAAATTTCCGGAAACTGAGTTTTCAGGAGATCCACATTTTTTAATTGCAACCGTGGACTTTATGAAAAACTACAATCTAAATTATGCCGTAAACAGTTAAATCATAGGTAAGTACATACCTACTTGTACACTGATAATAGTTACAATACAACTGAAATCATGATGATCATACTAAACAAACATTTATGTATTCTGTTCATGTCAAAAGTTCTTAATGATATGTTCAAAAATTTTTGATTTATAATCCTACTGGTACCTACCGAAGATGGAAAAAATCCACTTATTCTTTCCAACTTAGAAGCAATTGATGATCTCAAATCCCTAGTTAATTTTTTGCCAACCTAACAAGCTGTCAAAAAGATTTGACAGTTTACCGATAAATATGAATACCGGTAATAAATTGCTTACCTTCCGCAGACGTTTATCCGGGCCCTCTGACAAAGTGCCGATAACTCCGAACATAAACTTGGATGTCTCAGTTACGGTTAGAATAAATATAAGATATATTGTTCGTTCTCTTTCATCTTATTTTAGGACAATAATTTTGTTCAGTCCATTACGCCTTGCCAGTTTCAGGTCCGTATTAAAAACAAGGATAAAACTCAATTCAATCTCAGTTATAGATTCTGTCCAATGATTGGGCAATGAATATTAAAATTGAATCAAATAAAAGCCTCAATCTATACTTGAGACTGAATGCAAAGCTTTCAAAATGACCGAATAGCAAGACGCTTTTGTAAAACGACTTTCAAAAATTACTTCAAACTAAAGAGATGCACCCTTTCAGTTGATAATTTGTCTACCTTAATACAATAATGTTGAGCGTAAATCCACACTTGAGTTCGTTTCATAACACGGGCTTTAGATTCGTTTTACACTTTGTAAAACTTGGAATCTATACGAGTTAAGTTCTTATCTCTTGGACGGGGATTTGCCAGTAAAGCAGTTACGACGCGAACTTCACTCGTTAGATTCTCAAGTAAACTCCTACTCCATTCAACATAGTGTGAATGGGTCTTTTAATTTCTGCTGTTTAAAAATATGTATTGTAATAAAATCTTCCATTTGCGATGACAATGTGACATCTCGAATTATACGTTACTATAATTCGAGTCATTTAGAATTATAATACAATAATTCGAATCACTGAACACTGTCAGAGAACACTGTCATCGTGAATGGACGAAATTAAAGTATATTATAGGATTTCTTTGAACCCCTAAACTAAGTAGGTAAGTGTCATCTGTAAATACCAAGACTTAAAATAGTAATAAGTAAATGCTGTTAGTTTATAATATGTAATATCATGTATGAAATAATATTTGTCATTCTACTGATACCCTCACAAAGCTCACACGGAAACTGAGACGTAGTTTCCTCCATCGTCTGTCGAAAGGGGACAATAAATATTTTCGAGACCCCCTGAGGCGACAAAACCGAATTTACACACTTTTAGTTTGATAGTTACTTTAGGAGGTATACACTCGTCACGTGGCCTATTTAACTTGAGGTCGAAAGTGTAGTGTTATCCTTTCTGTGGCAAACGGAACCTCTTTGTTTTTTTTTTTAAGATTTCTGTTTTTACCTTCTGTCTTATTTGTCATAGCAACGTACGAAATAAACACGAAGTAAATTCTACTTTAAGTACTTAGAATCTACTTGTTTTTTCACTGTTTTGCACTCCCGTTCCTCCGATCCCTCACTGTCCTCAACACTTTCATTTACTACGAAAAATAAAGAAATAACTCCATGGTAACCATAAAATCATTTTGCAGTCTACCGTGCCAGAATAAAAGAATGGATGGAAGTCAATGTAACCCCATTGTTTGTTTTGCACATTCTAATTCCATGCGTTTAAGGTTATGACTATGTATGACAGCACGTCAACTTAAATAATGTGGCACCCTATGTTATTAGTTAATTTAGTTATAATAGCTGCGATTTTAGGAAGAATTAAGGTCCACAAGTTAGTAAAAGTGCTGACGAATATACCTACTTAAAATAATTACGAATGTTATCTTTATAACACTTAATCTATCTTTTTATTGTCTTAATTTACTTGTTAAGATTAAGCATTCTCTAATAATGTTATCCACATAAGAAGGCAACCTAAATAAATAACGTAATTACGCACACCGATCTTATCTAATAAAAC